CCGCCGCCGCCGCCGCCGCCGCAGGCAAAGCCCCCCTAGCTCAGTCGCATATCTCTGGGGTCCGCTTCAGTAGCTGCCACAGTCAACGGTTATTTCGCCGCCAAAGTTACTTGCAGGAGCGTCTTGATTTCATTCTTCTGGAGAGGCGCTGGCCGCCCAGCCTCGGGTTCCCTCTCCAGGGCGATCGCGCGCGCGGAACGTCTATCTGGCTCTCAGTATCCAGTTGTGTGTGAATGTTTGCGAGAGAGGAAGAGTGAGTGTGTGGTATATGCTAAGTAAGAGTGTGGAGTACGAGAGAGCAAGAAGAGATAGGGTGGGAGGTTTCGGATCTCGGTTGAATCCGCTCAGCTGGAATGCCTCGAAGGACAATGCATCAAAGGCCGGCGCCAGGCTAGGGACGCGGATGCTAACACCCTCCGGTGCAAGCTAAGCATGGTGTGCGGGAGCTGAGCTGCCGTCTGCGCCCGCTCGTCCGCCTTCCCTCTGCACCAGCCGCCGACGCTAGTGCCGCTGCTGCTTCCTCCCTTTGCCGCAAACTACTGGTGGTGGAGTCTGGAGAGAGCAGGAGAGAGCTCGGGCTGCCGAGCCCAGTTACGCCAGGCGCTGGCCAATCAGCGCGCTGCCCAGCGGGCTCCGGTCTAGAGGCGGGATAACGGGGAGGGGGAGGGCGGGGAGGGGCGGAGCCAGGCGGAAACTTACACACGTTCGGGATAGCGTAGTACCCCCGCCCGCCAAACCCTTTGGGGAGTCGGGGGGCGACAAGGCTGGTGGAACAGAAATGGGAAAAATGGAAGGGTGGAAGGGGTACGCCGACACTGCGGTTCATCCTTCCTGGGAACTGCTCTCCTCTCGCCTCCGGTTTGTCGAGATTGCAGGAAAAAAATGAGGAGGATTAGATTCTCTTGCCATGTTTATCTCCCTCACATATATTCATATCTCGAATGTAATATTCTCTTTCTCTCTCTCCCTCTCTGTCTCATCGCTCTGGATTTCTCTATTTCTCTGTTTTCTTCGGGTAGTGGAAAGGAGAAAGGCAAGAATAACATGCTCCCGGGCTGGTCATTAAAGGGGCTTTTGATGGAGAGTATTCACTTTAGCCAAAAGCTACGGCCGCCATCCACCCAGACCATAACTTTCCCATCCCTGTCTCTGGGCAGAAGCAGCACTTCCCCACCCCACCCCACCCCCATAGAGCCTCTAGTGGGTTGCTTCGTTCTTGCTGATTGGTTGGGTATGTGGCATAAGGACTGAGGCTCGAGGGGGTCTGAACACATTTTGTTGCCCTTCACTCAACCCTGTTGGAGAATTGGGCTCTTCATCAATAAACTGTGCTTTTGAGAAAAGCTAGCGGAGAAGATGCCACTGTGCTGCACCTCCCAGTTCAGAGCCAGAAAAGCCCAGATCCAAGCAGAAGCCGTGGGTTGGGAGCTCCAACCCCACCGCGTAGGTCCCAGATAGCTGGAAGCCTGAGCTGGTGGTGTGCTGGGTGCCCCAACCTTCCCTAGGAGCCTGGGTCCGCAAGTATTGTCAGCTCCGCTCCCACGGCAGTTGCGGTTGTGAAGCGTGCTAATCTGGGAAGAAGGAGACAGGCATGGCCAAGACCGAAGGCTCCTAGAAAACACCGGGACACTCCCACTCCCTTTGCCCCAATCTAAGACTCTTAAGGTCGAGGGCACAGAAATCTCCGCTTAATACGTTTTTTTCTCTCTCTTTTTATATAATAGATTGGGGGTGGGGAAGCAGATTCTGAATTAACAATTCTTGAAGGAACGTGTAAAGCTCTCTTCTGAGTTAAGTCGTCTCTGCTATTTTGAAAGTCTTGGGTGAGCAAACTCATTATTATCACAGTGACATTGGCCAGAGCCTGAGAGCTTAAAATGAGACTCGCTTTTGCCCTTTAAAAGACATTAAATACGAAAAGGAGAAAGAAATTTGGACACATCGTGGAGTCTCTCAAAACTATAATCGTCTTGCAAAAAGCAACCTAGTTGCTTTAAAAAAAATCTTCTGAAAGGATCTAGTTTAGCAGCCTTTACCTGGGCAGTGGGAGGGGGGAAAGACAGCTTCCTCCAACGAAAAGGAATTATTTCGAGAGTGGGGTTGCAACCCCTCTAAACGTGCAGCATAGGCCAAGGGAAGAGCTCTGGACGCCTGATTTGCTTTCCGCGTGGGGGTCGTTTCACTCTCTCATGTTTGAATGCAATTCAGCCCAGAACATCAGGGTGAAAATTCGGGCGTTTGCATTGAGAATTGTTTCATTTTGATCATTTAGAGCTGCGGGTGGACTACTGAGACGGTGGCTCGAGAGAGTCCCATCGCCCGCCCAGTTTTCTGCAGACAGCATTGAAGAAATGGGCTAGTAAGTGGAGGAGAATGACAAACATGGCAGGCGGGCGCACCTCACAGGCTCCGCTAAAGGAAAGGTTCCATTTGATTTATCACAGTTATTTACCTTTAATGTTTGCGAGTGGGAATGAAATGCATCTTGGTCTAATTAAAAAGGCCTAAAAAGGCATTTGAAATAGTTTTGCTATCTGATCATGGGATGTGAGTTCGGCATTTGGCAGCTTTCTAAAATATTGCTTGGACTATTTAAACAGAACAATTAGCAGCATGCTAAAATGTTTGTGTTCTATGCTTAGAAGCTTTTAGCTGTAAACTTTAAGGCGATCTGTTCCCCTTTAAGTTAAAAAAGGATGATGCTGCTTCCTTGTGGCGAAGGCTGTCAGGAACCCGCTGATCAATAAAACTAAACTGGCGCCTCCATGGCTTGATTGAGCGGGAGCAAAGAGTCTGAGTAGTCTCGGCCATTAACAATCCCCCAGGTAACAAGAAATGGAAGAATTACTCAGGTAAAATGATTAACATTGCCGTGGCATCTGAAAAGATGCACACAACAAGATAAGAAGACGGCAGACCTTTTACCTTAGGGAGTGCTAATAGAATGTCTATATTCTGCTGTCTTTTACAGATAAATAGGAGAATTCAATTCATGTAGAATGTCATTACCGTTGTAATTGCAATCACATTGTAAAGGCATGTTCTGCATTTGCAGAGACAAACATTCTTCATTAAGGCGATTGCATCGTTTTCCCACTTTCCTGCTCACTGCTCACACTCCAAGTACCCCTCTTTTCCAAGCAGAGAACCCAAGTACTTCCAGCCACCAAACAGCTTTTACAGAAGCCCCAATACTGAGGAAGGCAAAGCATACATCTCTCCTTTCCTTTTCTCCCTTTACCTCTCACATCTCCAATCTCAAAATGACAGTACACCCCCCCCAAAGATGGTTCTTCTACCCCCCAGTTAGATAATCCTAACACCCTTCTTCTCATAATCTATTTCTAATAAGCATACTTTTTAAACTCCAACAATACCACTAAAGTGGCAAAAAAACAACTTTGTGATCACAAATTTATTAGCTAACCGAATAAAAGCATCCTTCATGTAGTTAATAAAAACAAAAAGAAAGTTCTCTTCATTTTAGCTTCCGTTTATTTCAATCCTGAAGGGAGCCCCGCCTCTTCAGCCTCTTTAGAGACACAAGAGGGACATCTAGTGACCAACCTTAGTATTTTTTTTAACTTATTGAGAAACACTGGACTATAGGTACCAACTATGATGTTATACTGCCCTTTGTGGCTTTCTAGGCCAAGGCACTTCTTAGACTACAGTGGCCAGGATCAAAGTTGACAAAGATTATTTTTTGTCTTTAGAATTTTCTCTATATCGCTTCAATAATGCTGAAAGGCAATAGGAAAAAACAAAATTAGGAAG